CTTACGTTTCTTATGAAAAGTTGACTCCAAGTCAACTTTTCATAAGAATCGTTTGCAACGCAACGCAACGTATGCGAGTTCATTCAACAAAAAGTCACTAAATCGCGGTTTCCTGTCAAATAGTGGAAAATCGACGTATCACATGAAAATTCAGTACGTCGGTTTCCTGTCCAAAACTGTTTTGCGACGATTTTAGTTTACGTTACGTCGATTTCACAACGCACCAGTCGTAATCGGTTTCCCGTCAAATCGCATTTTCGTACGATAAAACGACGTAATCGTAAGTAAATCTGCCTTCTTACGTCGACAGGAAACCAGGCTTTACACGACTGAAAACATGGCGGAGATAATAATAATTTCTTCTGGATGATGATCATAAATGATAATGAATTAGCCATATTTCACAAGCCGAGGCAACTTTTTCACGAACAAACACAAACTTTTAGTGGGTATTAAAACAGAAGACGCGCGAGTGGCGTTAAGGTCAACTCATACAGCGCTGTAGAACGCATTCCGATGCGATTTGTTGTTGCGTCGGATCAGATCTGTGTGAGTAGACGCGATGGTTTTCATCGAGGACAGTCGCGTTGTAGATGTTCTCCGACGATGAAACGCGTCGGGCTGCGTCTTACAACGCTGTCTGAGTTGGCCTTTACAATCTTTGTGATCAGCTAGATAGTGCCTGGCTGGGATAGGCTAAACGTAAAGATTAGAATCCCTAACTTCCCAAGATAGGAATACTCTTGGAATAGGCCTAAACACATGCATCAGGTTTGGAATTATTATGGTGTAGACCTATACTCGCTCCCTGACTACAATGGTAACATATATGCCTAGTCTAAAATACAGTTTGACAAGGGAGCGTGTACAATGAAATGCAATTTTAGTGTTCACGAAGAGGCACAAACTTCGCTGCAAGTGTAAACAACCTATGGTGGGTTAATTTTTATTGCTTTCAGGAACAAACTTTTCACGCTAATTAATGTTAGTCTGAAAAGTTATCAAGATTCAGGATTTCAACCATAATTATAATTCAATACAGTACACTAATATTACTTGATTTCAAAATTTTTAGGCGTACTTGATTTTATTCCATTTTTAGAAACCAGTGGGGCGCTGCAGTCCAGATTGTAAACCCGGACAAAGAAGAAGATACCGTGGTGTACAACTCTGTTGTTTTATGTGCGTGTCGTGTCCATTTAATTCCGTGTCTACAGGAAACAGTAGGTCATTCCTTTCAAAATTGTCAGAGCCTGTACACATAACTCATTTTTAAATTATTAACTAGGGTGGAATTAGTGTGGTTTGCAAACTGTGTACACGTGTACAGAGTGAAAACCACACTAATTTCGCCCCAGTCAACAACAACAATGAGTTAATACTCTTTGTACACCGAGTGAACACATTGTAACAGTGTGCCGACTGTGTGGACACAGAACACTGTGTTGACCCAAAACACTGTGTTCACACCATGAACACACTGTGCCCACTGTGTCCAAATACTTAAAGTCCTGCTGTGTCCACAAAGTCAACGAACTTTTACCACGTGTTCACTCTGTGTACACACTGTGCAAGCCTTACCAAGTCAACACAGTTTTTCATTCCGTGTACACTTTGTGACATTTTCTATAATATAAATTATGTTATTTATCTCTTGTTTGTTATGCATTTATCATTTAAACTTTTCCATGCGCATCTTCGAATGATATAACGATACAGATACAGGCTACATTATGTAACTCGCATATATATTAAGTAAATTAAATCAAATTTGTATTATTGTATGTCAGTTATATTAAAATAATTATTCTAATTCTGTTTCGTGTAGATTCGCAGAAATGTGATGATTGCTCAAATGAAACATACTCAAACGATGCGAACACGCAATGTTTGCCAAAGGTTCCGGATATCTTTGACTACAATAGCAAGACTGCAGTAGCCTTAAGTGTACTCTGCATTTTAGGTAGTACAGCATCGGTGGCGTCAGGACTGATGTTTTACTGGAAAAGAGACACACCATTGGTAATGGCTTCTAGTAAAACACATAGCTACGCTATAGCAGCTGCACTTGCTCTTGGTTTTCAGACCGTGTTTTTTTACATTGGTTACCCCACTGACATAAGTTGTAAACTGAAATCTATTGTTGCAGGGCTTCATGTAACATTTATTATCAGTGTTTTCTGTGCTAAACTTTACATAATTCGCAAATTGTTCAATGCGAATGTAGTAACTTCATCTAAAAAATGGTTCTATAAATCATGGTTCGCCGTTTGTATTCTGACATGCTTGCATTTTATTTACAACATTATCTATGAGTCCCTAGACCCTAGTGAGGTTGTTAAAGATTTTTCATACATTCGTATATTGCCAGTATTTTGTAAAACCTCTGATACCAAATTCTTAACAGTAAGCATATTTCAATTAATTTTGTCAACAGTGTGCAGTATCTTCTCGTTTCGAGCAAGATTGTTGCCGAAGCGATTCCAAGATACTCGCCTACTCTGGTTTATTATGTTTACGATGTGCATTATGTTGTGTATCTCTACTTCTGCCCATTTTCTGCTAGGTTCTAGTACTCGAACACAAACTATTGATTCCATCTTTATCTTAGTTCTGAATTATTTGATATTGGTGATGTATTATATCCCCAAACTTTACATAATTTTCTTTAAACCTATCAGAAATACCAGGCCTATTTTTATGAACAAATTTTATAACAGAAAATCAATCAAACAGAACTAAAATACATTGACAGCATCATCTGAAAGTATGGAATGTTTTGAGTTTGAGCCAAATTTGCATTAATTTCAGCTAAATCATAGTTTGCCAATATTTAAAATCATATAAATATTGTAGTTAGAAATAATCAACAATTTTCAGTATTATATTAAATGATACCTGTCTAATAATTAGACTACTACAGGTGAAAAATCAAATATTAATGTTTACAACATCAATACCGTATTATAGCTATTGATTCAGAATTAGCACTTCAGTAAATACACAGATTATATACCAGATAATTACAGTTTATTAGGAGTGTTAAGTCACATATATTATATAAAAAAAAGTATCTCCAGCGATCGTGCGTTGTCGTCAAATGCTTATAAGAAGAGGGTGTATCATATTGATCCTTGTTATTAATTTAAATAAATAGCTTTGAATTTCAAGCAAAGTCTCAATGACCAAATTGGTTAAATCCTCTGCACAGACAGCAGAAACTCCCGCGTTCGAATCCGCGGCAGATTCCTCTTCATTAACATTGAAAATGTATGTATAATTATATTAATATCATAAGATGGTTTGGCGTTTATCTCTGTTATATAATGGTATATATATATATATATATATATATATATATATATATAATAGTATATAGTATTGAAAATATATAGTATTGAAAATGTATATATAATTATATTAATATCATAAGATGGCTTGGCGTTTATCTCTATTATATCATTGTATATTATATATAATAGTATATAGTATTATATACTATTGTATATAGTAATATATATATCATCTTAGGATGTGTGTTACAGTTAATCACATTGTTTTTCAATACCGGTACAGTTTGCCATTTAGCGTTCGCTCTATATTAGTCAAATGGTAAAATTTCATTATGCCACCTATCCTGCATTTTATTGAGAAAGAAATTATGTAATATCAAGAATCGAATCCTGTAATTAATAACTTGCAAGCCACATCTTTGATGTTTGTTTGACCAGTAATAAATATTATTCCGTCATTAAATTTTACTCTGTATATGTCATATTTTCAAAATTTCAATTCACATTCAACAGTAGGTGTCCGCCACTTACAGAATAGAGTACATAAAACACAAGACGGAAAACATTTACTCAAAACATTTTTTTATTTAATACTTAAAAATACGCAAACTTATTAAATAATAATGTCAATGGTAGAACCTAAATAAATAAGTTAAATATTACATCAATGGCCATGATGGCGCTTTAAATACCTATATATGAATAATTCAAATGTATTTGTCACATATGGATAGCCTTAAATAAGGCCTCTGATGATATTATTATAGTCACATATCTAAACTAATTTCTCCATCAGGCATCCGCTTTATGGTGATGGCCAATGAAGCATTTCCATCATATCCTGGAGGAAATAATTAAAAAGAAATCTTCCATGTCATGTGTTGGCCGACGAATCCAACCTCGCTCTCTGTGAGCATAAACGACGTGACAGCGACTGCTGATTGACGGACCGTCATTATAAACGATCCCTTGTGTGCGTGTCGTGACGTTGTGTTTTTATATGCAATCAGGTCAGCCGACAACGGTCAGACGCAGTGAGTGTTTAATGTTTTGAATTCCTGTGTTCTTTTTCAGTATCTCAACGTATGTGTGTATACGGTGAATGTTAATATCTTAATATCTTTCTTGTTTTTCTTGGTTTTTTGTTTTGTTTTTTTGCTTTATTTATTTATTTTTTTTATTTAAAAAAATATTAATTTATATATATGATTTCTCTATTTCTAAATGTATGTTTTTTTCTATTTAAACTCATCATAGTTCGCTGAAACTATACTATCAGTATACATACATTCTACGACTGTAGCTGTATTTATAACACACATCGAATCAGGTTCATTTTGGTAAGCCGACATCAACGATTGAGACCAATAGGTTCAAGATATGAGAACCCTATATTTTGCATATTTAACCTAGTTGCATAATGTACCAGGCAGTAAGCGAGTTGTGATTTCTTGAATTTCGTTCCCTCATATTATGTGAAATTACTAAGCTTGTGAGGTCCAGCCATTTTAATTGCTTTTGTTGATCATTGCCTCCTTAGATTTACACAATCAATTTTGGTTATTTTTTTTTTGTTTTATTTTGCTGCATGTATCAATTTTAGTGTGATTTTTTATGAAAGGCTAAATAAAGAATGAATGAATAAATGCTCTCAGTGTGAAACAAACACCTTCGTTTGCTACATTTTCTACCGTATTTGCATACATGTGAAAGTATTGGTGTTTGGTTTTTGGATTTTGGTGGCCATTTTGTTTATACTGAATATTTCAGATACTCCAACCCTGACTGACGTCTAGTATATTTTTTTATATTGATGACAATGACAATAAAACCCATAAAAAATATTTACAGACAAATACGTTTTGTGAATAAATTTCATTTGCCTACAGGACTATAACATCAAACTATGTATCACATTATAAGTATTAAAAATTAGCGGCTTTAACATTACCTAGGACCTAAAACAAAGTTTATACATCATTCAAAATTTAAAAATGGAGATGTGACGTCCGGCGAACACAAAGCAGAATTCCTGAAACTCAAGAGCGGTTTGGCGCCGTGGTTGTGGTTCTGCTTCTCAACCTTGGGGTCGGTGGTTCAATCCCTCGCTGCGCATTTCACTTGTGTCCTAAGGCAAGGCACTTTACCTACGGTTGTCTCTCTCCACACAGGAGTACAAGTGGGTACCTGGTTACAGCTGATTACAACTGCAACATTACAGAATTCTCCACAGAGAGCTGAGTGTGTGTTCCATAGCCCATTACATATAATTAAACATTTAATCTTCGATAATAATTACAATAATAATTACATATTTAATCTTAAATAATAATGTTAAGCGCATAGTGGTCTCCACAATATGCCGTCTGTAAGTCGACAATTATTACTCAACACCATTTTACGTGACAATGAATGATAACATTACCGATACCCTGATTCATTTAGTCAATATGTCCGTTTTAACATCTGAGTTAAACAAAAAATGGCCAGTTAATAAGTTTGTTTACATTAAAGTGCAAATAAATATTGTACATGGTATAAGAGCGCACAAGTTGCAATTTTTACTTTTTGTAATGTGTTTAGAAAGTATAATACATACTTCAAGTATTGAAATACACGCCATTACTGATACCCTGACTCATTTAGTCAATATGTCCGTTTTAACATCTGAGTTAAACAAAACATGGCCAGTTAATAAGTTTGTTTACATTAAAGTGCAAATAAATATTGTACATGGTATAAGAGCGCACAAGTTGCAATTTTTACTTTCTGTAATGTGTTTAGAAAGTATAATACATACTCCAAGTATTGAAATACACGCCATCGTGTTGGGATTCAATATTTCGACATTAATTATGTCATCATCAGGAATGAAAAATTATCCATATTAGCAAGCTTATATGCACTAGTACCAAAAGTGTTTAACCAATCAAAACATTACCTCTAGTAGGTGACATAGCAGTGATTTAAACAAAAGCATTCTTACTCTAATGATCAAAGATACCGACAAAAACAAAGAAAGATCTTTTGAAGCTCTAAGCCCATTGTTAAGCAAAGGGTGTAGTCTACGTATAGCGGACGCTTCTTTAAACAATAGGAGAGACCAGTTTCGGGAGCTGTCAATAATGCTAGTACTAGAAAATATTAAACCTAATTTATTACTTACATTACAGACGACATTATCATTTTCAAGTATACCCTGTAATCCTAAAACTATCATTTTAAATGTCCAGGCTGCAATAGTGATTATATTGGTAAGACAGATTGGTGCTTAATAACTAGACTTAAAGAACATTCTTCACGATCTGACAGTGTTATATTTGATCATGTTAAAAACTGTGAGGCATTCCAATTTGTTTTAGGATTACAGGGTATATTAACGACAGGTTAGTTAAGTGGTGAGGAAACATTTTGCCCTTATTGCAAACGTTCCGGTAGAGACTCAAGCACGGCTTTATATATTAATTAAAAATAAATTTCAACACATCTAGTATTGGTTATAATTGAAATATAAATGTATAGGAGAATAGATTGTATTATTAAGCTAACCAATGACTCTCGAGGAGGACCAGGTGAGGGCCAGCCAAGTAATATTCTGAGCAAATGGCCCATGAAGGCTTGTACTGCTACATCTACACTACATGTTTTCTTAATATTTTACATATTTTTCCCTTCCAGTGATGTATCAATACCGAATAATTGTAGTAGGATGTTAAAGCACATAGAGGCACTGCACAATATGTGCTATATAAATGTGAATTATTATTATTGTTTATCGAATCTGCAAAAATTGAAACTTAAATAATGTTAAATCAGATGATGCTCAATTCGGTCCATGAGTCCGAATCTGGGAAAATTTAAACTTTCAAACGCTAAGGAAACGATGTTGAACAAAGTTAACTCAAACATAATCGGTATTTTCATGATCCCTAGTTACCATAAGCAGATCCGTCGGAACCGCACCGGCCGCACCGGACCACTTTTTCATATTTTCGTTACTTTAAAAATAATAAATAAATTAT